ACAACGTCTGGAAGAACTACCAGAGCGGCGTCGTCAAGTCGTGCCCTGGCTCGCAGTCGGACCACGCCGTCCTCGCGGTCGGCTACGGCACGCTCAGCGGCGTCAACCACTTCAAGATCAAGAACTCGTGGGGCACGTCGTGGGGCGCGGGCGGCTACATCTACTTGCAGCGCGGCGTCGGTGGCAACGGCATGTGCAACGTCGCCGAGCACCCGTCGTACCCCAAGATCAGCACGTCGCCGACGCCGACGTCGCAAAACCCGCCGACCAAGACGCCTGCGCCGACGGCGGACCAGTGCCACGGCTGCGGCGAGTGCTACTACCCGGCCGGCGATACCTGCTACGACTTTGACGCAGCGACGTGCCAATACTATAGCGGCGACTACGGCACCATCTGGTGCGGCAACTAGGCGACGACGCACCCACGACAAGTGTGTTTGTTGTCTCTGCTCTTTCGTTTGGTGACTTGTGCATGTCGATGTCATTGTCGTCCAAATTTGAATACATGATGCTTGTGTTCAATGACTGCGCAAGAGGGTGGTGTAAGCAGGTGCATTACGCTTCCAATAGCTCACAAGGTTATTTACATGCATATGCAGACTAGTACTACATAGTTAGTAGGAAATGATTCAGGGGCTCTGGGCAAACTGTGCGACTACTCGCACTAGCACGCGTTCTGGTATGGACCGAATGTGTGATGCAGCATTTGCTGGGGTTGTAGCTAGAGTACGAGATGCATGGTGTTGTTCAGGGTGGAAAGTCGACACGTCAACAAGCGTAAAGTGTTTTGTTGCGTCCGTAATCGATACACGTCGAGGTTGATCCATAAATTTGTGCGACAATAACCCTGAATACTTGGAACCGTTATGGCTCGAGGTAGTTGAGAAACGGTGCGTCTGCTTGAGTAGACTCAAGAGCGCGATGGCCGAGCACGACCCGCCGACGGACTTTCAGTTTACGAGCGACTCGCTTGACCCGTACGCCACGTACGAAGACTATTTGGACTCGCAGATCAGCGAGACGGACCTCTTCTACCTCGAAGACGAAGAGCTCGCGCGGCAGCTCATCGAGCTCGGGTATCGTGGCACGGGCGAGACGCTCCGGCGCGAAGACTTCGAAGCGCGGAAAAAGACGGAGCGAGAGCGCAACGCCCAAAAGCCAACTTGCCCAAGCAGCTGGCCAGTGCCGGCAAAGACTTCTCCCAGCTGCCATTCCTCTCGGCGCTCGCGAGCCGCGAAGAGATGGTTCGCAACGGCAAGCTCACGGTACATGGGCCTGAATTGTGCTCTTGATTGAACGGGCACCATTGAATAGTCGATCATCTTTATCCGAGACCGCAATCCGAAGGGCCAAGAGGTGAGCGGCTACATCGACTATGCGCTGCGTCTCAAGTCAGAGCCGTTCGAGCCATACTTTGAGCGGAAGAAGCGGCTTTTGCCAAAGCCCTCTGACTTGAGCTACTACAACTGGGAGACGCAGACTTGCACGTCCAACTCGAGCCCCAATTTCCAAGTCATTGCAGATAGCGAGACGGGTTTGCTCTTTAAGAACAAGCGCGACCGCAAGGTCATCAACGTGGATCCAAAAGTACGTCGCGGCAAGTTATCGACGGCTGCACTCATGGAGCTTCTTTATGGCATAGGCCAATCCGGGCGACAATTCGACTCGAACCGAGATCAAGACCGCCGAGTACATGCAAGTCGTCATTTACGACCACATGACGCGTCGCAAGAACTAATAGCCTTCGTTGTCGAGCTTCTTGGGCTTTTGAGGGCTCGACGGTACCGGCGTGTATCGCCGTTTTTGTAGAGACTCGATGAGGTCGGCGGCGGTCGTGTGCTCAACCACACGGGCGCCGCGGCGTCGGGGCGGGGACTTGGTATATGGCGACGATGCGTTGCGTGCTGACTTGGATTGTGTCGCTTTGGTCATGTGGGGTGCCAGCTTCGTACGCCGCGACGCTTGCTTCTTCGCTCGCGCTTCCTAAGCACAATGTGGTGGGTGGGTCACCATAGCATTATACTAGACGCACGTGCTCGCGAATCGCTTGGATCTTGTTCATCCAGTCTTGGTGGCTCATGCGAGATATGTGGCACTGCTCGTCCATGTGTGTCATCTCCGCTTCGAGGTCATGGATCTCCTTCTCCAGCGACACGACGCGATGCGCTTGTCCCGAACTGAGTTTCGTAAGCGCGTTCCAATTCTTCTCTTGCAGGAGAAGCTAATGCGGTCGCACTTCACAAAATGCATCGCACGGAATACGGTACTTGCTGCTGTATTTCGAGCTTCTTGGTACGCACGGCGTCGAGCTCGGCTACATGGCTGCATGGTCGCTCGTTGAGTATACTGCGTACCTTGCAATGCCTTGGGCTTATCGGCCAGGTCGAGAATGTCCTCGATCATCTACAAGGATTGCCCGTAGATCCTCGGCAGGTCGTTTCTTGACGTACAGTCTCTGCCTCGAGGGAGTAGGCGGGTACCAAGCCCACGAAAGACCGTCTACGAGCGCTCTTCACGCCTGCCGCATGCAAAGTCATATGTACCTTGCGTCGTTGTACCGCCCCTTCAAGGCCTTCACGTCTTCGCTTGTCTTGGGCACAAATAGCTCAGATCGCTCATCGCATCCTCGGAGGTGCTACTTTGTCATGTTCGACCTCGGCCCGAGCGATAGCAAGTCGCAAGGAGCGGATCCGAGCTCGGGCCTCTTGCTGCTTCAAGACACGGTGCACCTATGCATTCGTCCGTACATGGTACGTCTACGTCGCCACGTACCGTCTCGGCCTCGAGCATCCGACAGCGCTGGGCGACCGCGTCCGAGTCGTCCACCCCATCGAGCTCGTCTGGGATCCCATGTATGGACGTCTACCTCCGAGGTATCTCCATGACCTTCGTACCCTTCCTCTCGTGGGCCGTCGTGGGATGGGCATCTCCTTGAACCACCACGTCCATTGCGCTGCCTCGCGATCCAATCTGAAAATGATGACCAGGCCATCGATCTCTCGGCATCTGCCGCATTTGAAACATACCGGATACTACAGGCGTATCCGTAAGTGTCTTTAATCGGCAAATGCCGAATCAAATCATTCGCCTTCTTTCGACCAATCAGAGTGAATAGCCGCCACTCCAACAATGCCACCACAGCTCCCGAAGGTAATCAATCAATCATGCATTGAAGCGGATACTGGTAACACGTATCCAATCGAGGTCCGTTCCTGCTACAACTGTACAACAGAAAAATGATCTAGTAGTTGCAGCTTTAACTAGCTCGAAAAAACGCTCAGATAGCTTGTATTGCATTGATAGACGACGTTGGACATGTACCGCGTCGTAGAGATCGCGAGGAGGTCTGCACAGAAAAATGACGGTGTGGTAGCGCCTAGTTGCCGCACCAGATGGTGCCGTAGTCCCAGCTCAAGTCTTGGCACGTCTCGGCGTCATAGTCGTTGTAGCACTCGTCGCCATCCGGGTAGTAGCACCCCGTGCAGCCATGGCACTTGTTGGGCTTCTTCGTGGTCGGCACGGGGGTCTTGGTCGTAGGGGACGGGCTCTTGGTCGTCGGCTCCGGCGTGTTGGTGGACGGCGACGGGCTATCGGTCGGGTTTTGCGACGTCGGCGTCGGCGACGTGCTGATCTTGGGGTACGACGGGTGCTCGGCGACGTTGCACATGCCGTTGCCACCGACGCCGCGCTGCAAGT